AAACACCGTTTAAAAAAATTACAATAGCATAAGACTTTGTACAGCATCATTTTTTTTTTCACTGAATCAGTGCCAAAGAGCATTGGCCCATTCATTTGGGAAGGGGATTCCATTATTTAGTTTGTTGGCTTAAGGAATAGATTGGCAAGAGAGAAAAATGACAACAAAAAAAACCAAGCCAAAAAACCACCCAATAGTCTCTTAATCCATGCTCCTTCCAGTCTATGTCCCTTGCAATGATCAGTATCCATGCCAGACACACACACACACACACACACACACACTTGGGATTCCTTTATCTAAAGAGCTGCAGCCTATTCTCTCTCCAAGCTTCCGAAAGACAGAGGGAACCAAGAACACAGGATGCTCACTTAAATTATTATTACACACAGTTGTTATTGCTGTGCCACCTAGAATGAAAACAAAAAAACCAACAGGCAGAGCTGGAAACTTAGAATTTAAATCAGTCATTCTAGACCACCCATCTTTTCTTCTAAAGAATATGTGGGGGGAGGGGGGAGAAAGAGAAGAGGGGAAAGACCTTTATACATCAACATGCACATCTGCTCCCAACCCCCATTCCCAGATCAAAGCTCTTTTCAGTTTGGCATTCTTTAGCATCTTCTGATTTTTCTTTTTAAAGAAAAAGCTTTCTCCCTGGTGGCTGGCATTGTATAAATTAGACAAGAGTTACTGTCAGATGACATTTCATGGCACTTGGGGTTGGGAGAGGAGGGGGGTGGGGATCTTCTCTTAGCAAGCTTTAAAAATAAGAAAGCCTCTGATCTCTAATGATTCCAATTTCTTGGCAAACATTCAACATAAGCAGAGACACACAGAACATGAAAACAGTACCGAGTCCCTGCTCGTGAGTGCAGAAGTCTCAACATGGCAACTTCCGTGCTGCACAGAAAACAAAGATGTGGCTCCAAGTCCCAAATCCATTTAAAAGTGGATTAAAAAAAATTAACAAATTTCCAAACGAAGAAGGGCAGAATCTCTCCTTAATCAGCATGCCTTGAGCAAGTGCTTGGCCAAGAGGATTTGTTAAAGAAAGCCGCACAGGAGATCTTGCTTTAAGAAACAAGGAGATACAGGGCTGGGTTTGCATTTTCATTGGTCCTGTTTTTCCTGAGCTCTTGGAAAGAGGGGAAAAAAACTGACTACAAGAAAGATAATCATTTAGGTGCCAGTATCCTCCCCACTCTGGGGGAAAGAGCACAATGGGAGGGTTCGCTCATTGTCTCAGAAGAAAATGGAATAAAGCTGGATTCCTAGCAACATTTGATGGGCAGGCACAATTAGCTTCTCCCTGGCAGCTGCTTTGCTTCCATGCTGGGAGGAGCATGTCTTATTCTGAGAGCCTGAGCTGATCTGACCGAGGTTATGCACGTATTTCTGAGGGAGCCAAGCTTAGGAGATGCCAATAAATCCAGCACTACATCTCAGTAGGTGTCTCCTGACTATGGGGACTTCTAATCAAAAAGCAGATGAAGGCAGACAAGATCTGCTGGGCGATACAGCAGGTCTATAAAAGGAGAGCACCTCTCTGAGTGCCTGCACCTTAGCATGGACGGGCAGGGGTCAGAGAAACTCTGGTCTGGATTGTGCTCCTAATGAAGCCCGTAGGAGTTCTACTACGGGTGTCAATGGAAAAAAAATTGACCCATACACCAGGACTTGCCCACAGCATATCCCTGGATGCTTCCCTCACCCCACCCCCTCTTCCAGCTGTGGGACCTGCTGCCAGATTTTAACAGCTGTCAAGACATATCACTGTAACTTGTTGTTGAGATGCATGCATTTTGTGCCAAGTCAACATGGAGGTTTGGACTGACAGCCCGAAAGAAAATGAAGAAAAATTCCTATGACATAGGGCATGGAAAACACTGAATCAAAGAGGAATCATGGAAGAAAATATGTGGGCATCAGAGGAGGATTAACCCTAGCCTTGAGCAGAGTGGGTCCTTCCAAACAGCAGTGGCAGGCCGTTGCGATATTGATGGAAAAGACACAAAAGCCACCTACTATCCCATACACATCCCCTAAACCAAAGCCCCAAGAATTAATGCCATCTGAAAGGGGCTACGTCACCACTTGCTTAGAATAACTGAGCTCTCTGAAAGATGCATGGACTGAGAGACAAGCTGGCTTTGGAAGACAGCCCCTCAGTTGCTGACAGGGGGTCTGCCCTGGGTAATTTTGGCACGATGGAGCAAATTCAGACAAAGACAAATGACTGTGTGATGGCATGAATCAAAGCCTTACAAGCAAAATGGCAAAGAAGTTCAGTGAAAATACAATTGCAGACACATTAACATTACCTTAAGAAAAAAAAAAAAAAAGGACACATGCAACTAATTAGCATCTGGTCTCCAAAGGGAGCTCAGTCGACTTAAGGACTATGTACAAAACCAGGCTATTTTACAGCTCTTCAGTACTTCTCCCCATTAACAAAACCATTACTCCACAGAAAGGTTCGCTCTACTGCTCCAGCCCAAACTTGTCAGAAAGGAAGGTCTCTGCAAAACCATGGCTTTGAGTGCGGCTTGGGTTTTCTGCTTGAAGTAGACACAGGGGGGAGGGAGGGGAATGACCATTGACAACTGTTGTCCAACTCAAAAGCATCTGCGCCCCCTTCCTATTTGATCCTCAAAGGAGGATTTCCACAGCCCTTGCCTTCCCACTCCAGCAACAGCCTAATTGGAAACCCTCCCTCCTAAGCTTTGAAGCATAAATCATGATCATGCCAGTAATGGGCTGAGACCAACAATTGGGCTTCGTGATTGGGGTTTGTTGAAAATGAAAAGATGGAGGTGTGCGCACATGGGACCTTGACTGGGGCATTTGGGCTGCAAATGAATCAGATGTCCTGGCACATGATGGGGTCAGCTCTTCTGCTCATTGTCTTATGCTCAGACCCAGCCCAATAAGAATAGCACTTGGTTGAGCACGGGAATGCCACTGCATCATGGCACCATGGTGACAGACCATTCATGAGTTAAAAGGGAGAAGATTCATCAGTGAAGAGCAGAACCAGCTAAGAGCACACCCCTTGCTTAGTGTTTTCAATGAGACACGCAGCTGTTCCTCTGTTAACACTCCTGTCATGGGTATGAGCACAGCATCCCCCTCTTCCACAACCACTCCCCTTGCCCCTAGGATGCCATCAGCTAGGCCACAGGCTGATCTTTGGTGCGGCTGTCCTAAACTCCAACCTGCAACATCAATTGGAGCAGAGATGCTGGGTTGTGGTCTGCATTATCTCAGCTCTTAGAACCCTGCTTGTGACCATCTGCCTGCCTGTCTTCCCTAAGGTGAAAAAGCAGCAGAGATACATCTCTTGGCCCACAAACAATATAATCTCTCAGCTGAGCCATGTCCGACTTGCCTGTAGATGCCTATTAGCTTCTCAGTCTGGGTGAGGGCCACCAGAGCACCAAGCCCAGGAGCCGCTTGGGCTACAACAGGTATCCAAACTTCCCTTCCACCACATTTCTCACTCTTCCTGAGGAAATGTTGCAGGAGATGAGAGCAAGCAGGAAGGGAAGGAGGCACCAAAATAACTCTAGGCACATAGGGCAAAGCTTGCAAACTGAAATATGCCATTTATTAACAAGCCTGATAAATATTACAGCCAGCCCCTTGTGTGCCACCTGCTCTCCAAGCAGCTTTTGCCACTTGGCATCAAAGATATAAGGAAGGAAGCTATCTGGGCACCAGTAAATGGGAGCAATGAACTGTCTGCTTAAGGAGACACCCAGGCTATAGCCCTACAGGCTGTTAAAATGACCTTAGTGGGAAGCAAAGGTGCTTAGCAACCCACCAATTTGGGCCCTCCTGCAGTGCTCTGGGCAGCTGGGTTTAAAAACAGATTTCTGCAAGACCTCTGCATCTAGGTTGCCCAAGGCAAGTTTGGACAAGGTCAGCAACCTGGCCAGGTGCCACCACAGCAGACAAAGCAAGGAGGCTGCTTCCTTATGGGATCACATAATGCATCAAGCTGGTATCAGGATCATGCAGGGATCCCATGGGATCCCTGCTTCACAGGCTGGAACATGTAGGAGACATCTGAGCAAGCCCTGACCCTGATGATCTTCTCCACCAGGGGACCTTTCTTCTGACCTTATCTGCACCCAGAGAAAGGGCCATGGAACCTTGACCAAAACCAAGGAAAGAATTTGGACCTTTACAAACAAGGCAGGATTACAGGTCTCAGGCTCAGATGATGTCCCCTGTTACTGCAATGCCAGGCACTGCCCACTGGTCATTATGAGACCAAGCCCCCAGGGAGATGATCCCAAGACAGGTCTACTTTAGCTCCACACAGGAGTAGACAGGTCTACTTTAGCTCCACACCAGGCCTCAATTCAGACAGACACACAGATCCACCTTTGTGTAACATAAAATGCATCCAAATTAGCAGGTGAGACACAGAAGCAGCTTGGTTGTGAGTCAGGTTCACGTCTTGAGATGCTGGCTGGAAGACCAGGGAGTATTTCATGGAAGAATTCCCATCAAAAGCATTAGGAGGAACAGCAAGTGCTGGGAAAAAAAGAGTATCAAGCCTCAGTTGGCATTTCCCTTAGCGTGGCTCTGTGAAGTCATTGTCACAATTAGAAGGTTCTCTTCGCTGGGTGGGAGACAAGACTGGAAGACTGAAACCTGAACCCCCAACCTGACGCAGTTCGAAAACATGTGTAAAAGTCACTGGAGCCACAAGCAGCAACACAAAACGCTAACCCAAGTGCCAGTGCACTTCAGCTACAAAGTCTTTCTAGCCCTCCAGAAGTACCACACATGGGGAGGAACATCAGTGAACCTAGTACCCTCCAGGTCTATATGGCATGGACAGCACCTCTAATCCAACCTCATATGCACCTATGACCTGCAGCAAGGTGGTAGGTGGGGAAGGGTGGAGAGGGATGGGAGGGGTGATGGGGACAGTCACATGTATATCAGATGGGGTAAGCAGGAATAAGGTATTGGTGTAAAAAGAGTGTCTCAGTCTGGAACAGCAACACTCACACCTTTTTCTGTGGCAAAGTGCGGTCAGTTCTGGTTAGAGAACAGGCAGAGAGGGAGGGTGGGATCTGTGCTGACTTAAAAGAAAAGGGAAAAAATGAGAGAGAGAGAGAGAAAGAGACAGAGAGAGAAAGGCTGGAAGCAATGTGATCCCCATCTGGAAGGTGTCATTCTGTAGCACTAATGCCCAGTCCCTGAAGAGCCACCTGCTCCTGGATGCAGGCTGCAGGGAGTCCAGGTCACTGCTCCATGGGGTCCACTTCATCTCCTCAACTGCAATCCAGAGTCACTTGGAGGAAGACTCTTGAAGGCCAAGTACCTCAAAGGGAGGCTGATCCTGCATCTTCACCTCACCCTCCACACTTCTCCCAAGCATAGTGGCTTTCTTCAGGAAGGGTTCTTTCCCCTCCCCTAACCTCCAGGCATCTCCCTTTAGACTCCTCTCAAGGTCAAATGGCAACACCTCGTTAAACAAAGACCAGAAGTCATTAATTAGCAAACAGGGAAACCCAGCACCCACAGCCACTCCAGGCTGCAGGAAGGCCCCATCCCACCACTTCTGAAGAAGGGCGACTCCCCAGAACTGCAGACTCTGTGAGGAGTTCTTGAGATCCTGCGCGTCTTGTCACACACGCACTCACAGACACATGTGGAGGAGTGGACAGTCTTTGGCACCAGAAGCCATCCCCACATCTATAGGTTCTCGCCTGGCTGATACTGGGGCTCTGTTGATGTGAAGTAGTCCTCCAAGAAGGCCTGCAGGTACTCAAAGGTGGGCCTTTCCTCAGGATCCTTCCTCCAGCACTGGCACATCAGATCATGCAGGGATTCGGGGCACTCGGGAGGGCAGGGCATTCGGTAGCCACGTTCCACCTGGTCCAGTACTTCCCTGTTAACCATCCCTGTGAGCCAAAAGAGACAAAGGACTGAGACAGAACAATTCTCAATGCCTGGCTGGGAACCACAGGCATGTGCTTACTGCCCTGCAGACAAGGGGGCAGGAGGGTATCTAGGACCCTCATCACTATCCATTATCTCCTCTCATCCCCTGAAGCCTCCTCTGAATCTCCAGTTGGTCACATCCCACTGACAAAGGCAGAATCCCAGTAGGCTGCAGGTTCTACTTGGATAACTGCTTTTGCATTTCCCTAGCACCCTCCACCCCATGGTCTCGCTGGTAAAAACCTTGGGGTGTGGTGAGACATGAGATTATTGCTCCCAATTTATAGGAGGGAACACAGAAGGTTGGATAACCTGGCCAAGACCCCCCACAGCAAGCCCCTGGCAGAGAAAGGATCACAGATCTGAGAACCCTGTTCCAACCATCAGCCACTGTAAGGTTCTTCTCACAACAGCATAGCTGCAAAAAGGATTTCATCCCAGGCAACAGCTCTGGTTGTTTATTCACGTGCCTCAAATGAAGATCATTTTCCAAGCTCCAAACACCCCTAGAATGTACCCTTCAGTGTGGAAGCCTGTCCCTGCCTAGAGAAGGGAAAAACAATGCACCACATCTTTCCTTTGACAAGACCAGAAGGAGACACCAGGGGACAAACTTGACTCCAAAGATCAGCTGGGATATGCCACAGGATCAGAGCAGGGCTGTGGCCAGCGATAGCTCCACCTCTTACCTGGGTATGGCACTCTGCCCTTGGTGGTCAGCTCGGTCAGTAGTATTCCGAAGGACCAGACATCTGACTTAATGGTAAACCTGCCATACAAAGCAGCTTCTGGGGCTGTCCACTTAATGGGGAACTTGGCACCTGAGTAAAAGGAGACAAAAAAAAATAGGGCATGGAGGCACCACACAGAATATCAACCAGGGGAGCCCAGACAGGCCACAGTCCACTACTGTGATGGCCGAGGGCTACTCTAAAGCCTGGCGAAGGCATCTGTGTAGGACCAAATGAGGAGGACTGAGCTAAGAGATTCCAATGAAAGAGTGCTCTGTGCGAGTTCGGACTGCACTGTCTGCATCCTCACTCCTTCCAATTTTAAAGTACAGAAAGCACCGAGTCATCTGGGCTAGCCTGTAGCAGGCCTAAGTCTGGGAATCACAAGATCTCATTCCAAGTCCCAGCACTTTCAATACAAGTCTCAGCCCATGCCAGGGATTTGCTTGCAGCATCCAACCGCAGAAAGGCAATACGTGGTCCCACCAGGAAAAGCAGAAGTGAAGCACTCTTTCAGAAGAAGCTACAAGATCTGTGGCAGCAGGATCTTGACATACAAAGCAAGCGCTTGAGTGTGAATCTGAATGAACTCTAAGTACCAAGCCAGCATCTTTACAGGGATGAGTCCTACAATGTATACAGCATGGACCATGACAGGGCAAGCTCCCCCCATCTCACTGGCCTCAGGACACAGGAGAACTTGGCTTCTTTGTAGTGCCAGAGATGGGGTCAGTCCATATTGTATGGGCCCCAAGCACATAGGGAACTGGACAGACTTCCCACCATTTCACATTTGCCACCTAGATGGGATGTCAGCAAGTGCCCTAGAAGCAACAGGCTGTGCATATCATTCCCAAGCCATCCAGCCCTCACAGCCTTAGTCCATTTGGAAGCACCATGCAATTCTGTGGCTGGCTTGTTCGTTTCCCCTCTGGTCCCAGCATGCTGATGCCTTCATGTGCAGCTCCACTCCCACATACCTTGCCTGGCAGTGTATTCATTATCTTCAATCAGCCGCGCCAGGCCAAAATCAGCCACCTTGCACACCAAGTTCTCCCCTACAAGGATGTTGGCAGCTCGGAGATCCCGGTGGACATAGTTCATCCTTTCCACATAGGCCATTCCAGATGCAATCTGTAGCCAGCACATGGGACAGCACACAGAGAACATGAGATGCTATGACCAGGACACAGGGCACCCAATCATGAGTCCTTCTAGGCATGCTCATTTTAAACAGCCATTGTAGACCCCATGAGGCCCTGACCATACAGCCCAGTTAGTCCAGCAACTAAAACACATGGAGCTGATGAGACTTAAGAGGGGCCTGGCTTTGTTTAAAAGGCCTATCACCAGGCTGGTATTATGTGTGGTCACAGAAAGAAGCCAGCTGGCAGCCTGATGGCAATGTGCCGTTTTGCTCTCCAGACTACATGAAATACCATAGGTCTCAAACTGGTGACTTATACAGCAGCCAACTTCAGGAACGAGTTGGATGAGATGCTTGCAGTGGCAGGAGATGCCCCAGAATCTGTGCTTACTTATTCAGCCATAGAACAAGGGGAGGAGGTCTACTATGAAAGTCCTTCTCAGAGCATGTTTCCAGGTTGGCGACTCTCCAGTGTACCCCTTAGATTAGGCTACTTTTGGCTTTGGACCGAGGAGATTGCCACAATAGCTATAGCTGCTGGTAATCAGACCAGGGGTAGGCGATACAAAATCTAAAAACACCATGGCTTTGGCCAGTCACATGTCTCTGCTTAAGACAGCAACTGAACAGAGAAACGCAGAAGAAGGGCTAGAAGGCAAGGGCAGGCTGGATAAAGCACTACACATCCTCTGCCAGCAGAATGGGGTCAGGGGAAGGGCAAGCTGAAGTGCTCTGGGTCAAGATCCAGGGGGGGCAAGGCGAGAGGGATTTGACGGTGGGGGTCTATTACAGACCCCCCAATCAAGAGGAGGAGCTGGACAGGGAATTTTCAGGCCAGCTTGCGGAGACACTAAAAGCAAGGGATGTAGTTGTCATGGGCGATTTTAATTACCCGGACATCTGCTGGGAGGAGCAGTCAGCCGGGACAGACCGCTCCAGGAGGTTCTTGGCCGAGTTGCAGGACCTCCACTTGATTCAGGAGGTGCACAGTCCCACCAGAGGAGATGCCCTGCTGGACCTGGTCCTGGCTGCAGGCAACGACCTGGTAAGAGGCCTCCAGGTTCTTGACCACCTGGGCAATAGTGATCATCGCGTGCTGGAATTCACCATCCAGCGTAGAGTGTCAAGGGCCCGCAGCAAGGTGGTGGCCCTAGACTTCAGGAGGGCCAACTTCAGTGAGATGAGGAGATTAGTGGGAGAGGAACTGGGGTCCTTGAGGGCAGAGGAACTCAGCGTCCAAGAGGAGTGGTCGTTCCTTAAGGAAACGATACTCGGGGCCCAAGGGGTGTCCATCCCGACAAGAAGCAAGGCGGGCAGGAGTGTCCAAAAGCCCCCCTGGCTCACCAAGGGTGTCCGGGAATGCCTGCTTGCCAAAAGGGTGGCGTACGCCCGGTGGAAGGGGGGTGTAATCTCCAAAGAGGAGTATACCTCCTCTGCTCGGGCCTGCAGGCGGGCTGTTAGGAAGGCCAAGGCGGAGATAGAGCTCGGATTAGCGTCCAGGATTAAGGATAACAAAAAGTCCTTTTTCAAATATATTGGGAGGATGAAGAAGGCGCCGGGTAATGTGGGGCCCCTGCAGGATATGCGGGGCAATCTGGTGGTTGCGTCAGAGGATAAAGCGGACCTCTTTAACCAATTCTTCACCTCCGTTTTCTTGTGCAGGGACCGGGACTTCCCTGCTGTGATAGAAGCCGGACGCGAGGGGATCGCCTTCAGACCTCAGGTTGGGGAGGACCGGGTTAGAGAGCTTCTGGAGGGGCTGGACGCGTTCAAGTCAGCGGGTCCGGATGCTCTCCACCCCAGGGTGCTGAGGGAGCTGGCTGGGGTTATTGCAGGGCCCCTGGCACGGCTCTACGAGCGATCGTGGTGCTTGGGCCAGGTGCCAGACGATTGGAAGGTAGCTAATGTGGTCCCCATCTTCAAAAAAGGGAAAAGGGAGGACCCGGGCAATTATAGGCCCGTCAGTCTTACCTCAATCCTGGGGAAACTCTTTGAGAAGATCATCAAGGAGCACATTTGTGATGGGCCGGCATCAGAAATGATGCTCAGGGGCAATCAGCATGGATTTATTAGGGGGAGATCATGTCAGACCAACCTGATTGCCTTTTATGATCAGGTCACAAAGGCCATGGATGCAGGTGTCGCGGTGGATGTAGTCTTTCTGGACTTCAGCAAGGCCTTTGACACCGTCTCTCACCCCATCCTAATTAATAAACTAGGCGACTGTGGCATAGATGCCTACACGGTCAGATGGATTGCAGATTGGCTGAAGGGTCGCACTCAGAGGGTGGTGGTGGATGGATCATACTCGACTTGGGGGGAGGTGGGTAGTGGAGTCCCCCAGGGCTCGGTCCTGGGGCCTGCGCTGTTCAATTTCTTCATCAGCGATCTTGATGTTGGGGTGGAAAGCAACCTGTTTAAATTCGCTGATGACACCAAAATTTGGGGGGAGGTGAGCACGCTAGCAGGGAGAGAGAGATTGCAGAAGGATCTGGATAGGTTACAGGGGTGGGCAAACAGGAACAGGATGTGTTTCAATACGGACAAGTGCAGGGTGCTGCACTTGGGTAGTAGGAACCAGCAGCACACTTATACGATGGGGAACTCCCTACTTGAGAGCACGGAGGCGGAAAGGGATCTTGGTGTCATTATTGGCTCCAAGATGAACATGGGCCGACAATGCGAGGTCATGGTTGGCAGGGCTAACCGGACCTTGTCGTGCATCCACAGGTGCATCTCGAGTAGAGCCAGGGAGGTGATCCTCCCCCTCTATGCGACGCTGGTCAGGCCGCAGCTGGAGTATTGTGTCCAGTTCTGTGCGCCCCATTTCAGGAGGGATGTGGACAACATGGAGAGGGTCCAGAGGAGGGCCACCCGCATGATCCGGGGACAACAGGGCAGACCCTACAGTGAGAGACTGCGGGACTTGAACCTATTCAGCCTCCACAAGAGAAGGCTGAGGGGGGACCTGGTGACCGTCTATAAACTCACTAGGGGGAACCAGAAGGGTTTGGGGGAGACGCTGTTTCCCCTAGCCCCTGCTGGCATAACAAGGAGTAATGGGCACAAGTTGATGGAGAGGAGGTACAGATTGGACATCCGAAAAAACTACTTCACAGTTAGGGCGGCTAGGAGCTGGAACCAACTTCCAAGGGAGGTGGTGCTGGCCCCTACCCTGGGGATCTTTAAGAAGAGGCTGGATACCTACCTGGCTGGACTCATTTGAGTCCCGTTTTTTGTTTAGGGTTCTTTTGTTGTTCTCCCGCCCTGGCGGGGGGGGTCGGGCTAGAAGATCTATTAGGTCCCTTCTGACCCTAAAACTATGAAACTATGAAAGGTCACCTCATTCTGGACAGATTCTTCTGCCTTCCCCTCATGTACTTTCACTCATCGTTTTGGCATAGGTTACCCCTAAATTCAGAGCAGCTGGGGGACACTTCACCCCAAGACAATAGGGCCCCTTCATCTTTTGATCATGTTAATGATTGCTAGCAAGATACATGGACATGCAAGACAGATGGTCTTTCCAGCTAGACCTCACCCTGAATGGTAGGCAGCAGAAGACCTGCATTTTAAAGGCTAAAGCAGGACACTAAAAAGGCAAGAGAAGCTTCACCCATAACTTGTCACTCAGCCAAACCCACCTGAGCCGCCATGTCCACCAGCTGGGGCAACCGCAGATACTTGCCCATCTCTCCCTTCAGGAAGTCCAGGAGGCTCCCTAGTGTGTAAAGGCATAAGAGTCGGTCAGAAACAACCACTACTCTGATGGTCCCATTTCCCATCCATCCAACACATTTAAATTTTGGCTTATGTGGAAGACTCCTTTAGAAACTGGAAGATGTTGCTCACTTGGAGCCGTCTCAGTTCCCTGCCCTGTTATCCACACCCCCATCCCTTTCCCCTTGCTGCCCCTCCCCTGTCCCCTCCACACACACACACACACACACACACCCCCCCTACCTTTGCTCATGTATTCGGTTACTATGTATATTGGCTCCTCTGAAACCACAGCATACAGCTGGACCAGTTTCTCATGACGTAGTTTCTTCATGACCTGGGCCTCCTGCAGAAATGCCTCTGGAGACATGGTCCCGGGTTTCAGAGTCTTTATAGCCACTCTGGTGGTGCCGTTCCAAGTCCCTGCAACAAAAATCCAAGCCTGTTCAGGACAGCCTGTCTTGACCATCATTCCCTGCCCCACCAGCATAACATTATCAGCTCACTGCAGTAGGATTATGTCATGACAGGATCTACAGGATCCTGGTGAAACATCCTGGGAAGGAGGATGTTCCACCAGGCCAAATCAGGACAAGCCACTAGAGTTTAGGGCAAGTGGAAACCCTACAGAAGCACCATGCTGAGTAGCACAGGGAGCACACCATTCCCGACATGTCACCTTTGCCAGCAGTCATGGGATTAAAACCAAAATGCGTGGCTCACTGCTGGAACAGGAAGGAGCAACTCCTAGTGACATTTGTATAGCCTGGGTGATGGGCCAAGAGATTCTCACACTGAACTGTCATGGCCACATTTCAAGTGCTGGGGAAGCCTCACATTGCCTATGAGCAGCAACCCCAGAGACCAACCAATAAGGAGAGAGAATTACATTTCTTGGAAGGAATAGAAATTCAATTATTTTATTTATCTCCCATCTATGACTCCCTTCCCCCGCAACCAAAAACCAGGTAGGTGTCCCTCTGGCTAGTCAAGACAAGCCAATGTTCCATGGCCCAGGGGCCTCCTGCTGCTTTCCAGGTACTTGTTTGGGGGAATCCTTACCCATCCACACTTCTCCAAAGCATCCTTGCCCCAACTTCACCTCTAGTCGCAGGGATTCCCGGGGAATTTCCCAAGCATCTTTAGCCAGTCCTTGTGTCTGGGGCTTGGAAGTTGGGCAGACATTGGTGAGACGGTGACACAGGCCATCAGCATGTTCTGGGAAGAGGAAAGAACACAGGCAGCATGCTGACTTAGAGAGCCCTGGCATAGGTTTCCTTCAGCCCTTGCCTCCCTTCAACTCCCCCCAGCTCTCAGCCCTTGGAACTTACTGCTCCTTATGCCTGGTACATCTAAATCCCCGAGCACTTGCTCTCCTCCCCTTCTCCAAACCCATCTCTTCAGGAAATGCACCCCCTCTCCCTTCATTATTCAAGGCAAACAAGTCCCTGGTTTTCCCGCATTGCTGCTGTAGGTCTTGTTTTGCTTTATTTGGACCATAAAAGAAACGGGATCAGGGAACAGACAGGCCCACCAGCCCAGGACACCTACTGGAATAATAGGTCACCAACTGCTGCAGGCTGTTGAACTGCGTGCGGGAAGTGATATAGAAGCCGCCACTGTCCAGCTTGCGGATCTTGTAGTGCTTCACGTTGAGCCCTTTGGCATTGTCAAAGTCCGAGACTGAGAGGCAATAGGCACCTGCAGGAAGAGCAGGAACATCTCAATCATTCCACCTCAGAGACATGCTGGGACTGCTACTCAGAGCGTGGGGAAGGGAGAAGAGGGAGGAGACAGGTGAGAAGGGCTGTGTGCATGTGTGCTCACATCCCTCATGGAAGCAAATCTAGGGATACATGTATTGTGTGGATAGAGAAGTGTAAACCAAGTGAAGAAGGTAACCTTTATCCTAGAGTAAGGGGAAAGGAGGGGAAACCAACAGCAATGGAGGCTGGCAGCCACATCCTGCTTCTCCCTGTATGGTGCTGGACAGGAGCACTGGTAGACATGGACCTCTCCTCATAGCACCCTCCTGCATCCAGAGCAGGGCCCAGGACATGCCACCTGGTAGTGCCCGTGTACATGCATGCACACTGAACAAAGCCACAGGCAAAGCCTCACCTCCCTAATCAGGTCCTCCAACTGCTTCAGCTTGTGCAGAGACCCTACCAAGCCTCACCAGCTGAGCCATGCCGGGCAGGACAGCATACATATAGGAGACCTCCCTGAACACCTAGATGCTGGAAGAAGAGAAGCTGGGGCTTCCATGCTCTGTCCATACCAAGTGTGAGCCCAGTTGGCTGCAAAGAGTTTTGTGGGACCTGCTGATGGTGCCATGCTTGGACTATACACAAAACCAGGGGCCATGTGTGCATAGAAGGTCCCTTGGCAGTTGGAGAGCTGGGGTCTTGAGCCCTCGGGGTTCTGGCTGAGGGTCAACAAGACAAGTGTTTTACATGCCACTGCCCAAAAATCCCCAGCAGAGATTCTACTGGATCACGTTCCTTCACCTCCTGTTTTATGCTGCTGCATGGCATCACAGTCCCCACATGCTGCCCAACAAAAAGCTGAAGATCACATCAAACCTGGATGCAGACCCACCACCTGCTTGCAACACTGCCTTAAGTAGCACATAAGCTTTGTTCCTATGCACATATTGTGGGGTGGCTCCGA